CAAGGCTACAGACCTTGCCGTACCTAAGCGAGTCTCTTTAGCCCTTTTCTTCTTTAGAGCTTTAGGTTAATGATCAAACTTTTCGCTACTCGCTCTTCACTGGATCTATCAGGAAAGATTACATCTTTTTAGGTCTCAACCAGCCTTAGTTTTCCTGTTTCCATCATGTAGTACTAGTACGTTCTGCCACCTCCATTTTAGCACCACCCAGCTTTCATCAGTTCACTCTAAGTCTAGCTTTGTCGGCGTTTTACTGTTGCAGACTGTATCACTTGCACTGTTCTTTTGCAGTACTCCTGCACTGTAGCTCTGTGTCCCTGACTACACCGTGGTTTACACTGCCCCTAAACTGCAATCTTAAGTAACTTTAGTTCCGGCACTCTTTGGCCATTAAAATAACCAACTCCAATGAAACCCCGTGTAGCTACGTTCTGCTACATCCATGCTAGCACCACCCAGCTACCACCAGTTTACTCTAAATCTAGCTATTTCTAGCAAGCAACCTCTCGATGCTATCTCCAGCTCTATCCCGACCCTGGCAATGAGATATGGGGGTTATTTGAGGTATCTGGCATAGCAAACGAAGCGGCATGCGCATTCACAATACAAAAAAGCCACAGTGGATGATGGAAGGTATATTTACACTCTTCCTATACCCCCCTATAATACCGGGCCTCTTGCGAGAGTGACAAAAAGTGCACAGTTAAAAGAAACCCCTGTGAGAAATCGGATTTCTTGCACAACTGGGTCTAATTATAGAGGTAAATAAAAGGTCCGGTACATTCAGATACCCGGTATAGATTGGCAAGATTGACAGTACAGAGGTTTTGATCATTGAAATCAATAAAATGATAGAACAGCAGGTAAAATCGGTTCGATCTTAAATGGTCCTTTTGTGCTGTTTCTTTATGTGGAATTTGATAAAGCTGTATTGTAATTAGTTATGAAACTCTAATATTGTGTGGTTAACCTTTTTCAGGTTCAGCCCTTTCCGCTAATATATAAGCTATTCCTAATTACTAAAATATGTCGAGATTTACTGAACTCCAACTTCAAATATTGATGATTTTAGAATTCCCCAATCTAAAAATCTTCGAAGTTTTACTGCAAAGCATTTTTATTCACGTTTCATGCAATTCGATCACCTTTGGCGGAAAAAAATATTTTCAAATTTTCAAACTTTTTTTCTAAGTCTCGAAAAAAATTTTTAAGTGAAAAATTTTTGAAGTTTTTCTAAAAACTACATTTCTCCGTGTTTCAAACTATTTCAATCATTTTGAGCCAATAAAAAATTTTCACTTTTTTTGGTGATTAACTAATTGGTAATTATCCAATTAGTTGATTGTCCAATGTAAAAATTTTTTAATACAAAAGTTTTACTCCTTGATAAGATAAACATTCTAGGTTAATTTGCAGCCTTCTACGATGTTCACAACTAAAGATATTTGGCAAACCAGAAAGGTGGTACAGAGGTGGTAAAAAGTGGTAAAAGTGGTGTTTCTGTTGAGATACAAAATTGGCAACAAGTCTAATTATGTTCGTAGGGGTCCTAACTACCATATTCCGTTGAGAAATCCTTGTGAACATTCAAATCCAACGGAATGCCACTTTTCCCCTTACTATATGTCCATTTTCTACCTGTAAAATACAGTCTCACGAGCTACTCTGTGCGCGCAAGGGACTTTATGACGTCATCGCCAAAATAATACAAACGCTAATTACACGCGTTAGAGAGCAGTTAGAGATTTAGGAATTTCGACTCGTTGCTTAGTTTGCTATTTGTCACAATCTGTCAAAATATGAGGATAACTTTTTTTTCAGTTAACTGGTCCTTTAATATTGTAATGAAAATTTGTCTCTCCTTGTTCTTCTGATCAGCCTTTTCATATAATCATTATGATTGCAAAATGTGTCCATTAAGTGCCTTGATCGCAATCACCAGCTTTAACTCGTTCTGCTATTATAATAAATGCCACAATTAAAGTGGACTTTCAGTTATCAGACAAACAAAAAGCATAAGATTTGGAGAACTGTTATATTAATATTATCAAATAATATTATGTTATGTTAAACTAATTACAACACTACAAATCTATTACATTTATTGAGAATTATGTAATGTAACGTGATGGAAATATTTTAAACGGGCATATCCTGTCTAAACCCAGGATGCATTACTATATACTAGCAGGAACCCGTCTACCCTAAAGTGGTGTCAAGACTCGAGAGACTAAAATAATTATTACCTATTTAATTTGCGTTTTTGACACCACTTGGGAGTCCAAATTTTGGGCACTAAAATTCTTATTCCTTGGCCAATTTTTTACTTTTTCATGCTGATTTGAAGGCCATCAAAGCATTTGACCCAGTCAAAAAAGTTTCAGTTGTATATCTTTTACGGTTTTTGCGGAAAGTCGCGTTAAAGTTGATGCCATGGTGTCAGTAAAATGGCACGGAACCATATATATCGTCTCGCTTTATATATAGTAAGATATATGAAGAATTCGTTGTAACTTTGTTTGAAAAGCATTAATATTATAAAAGCTTTGAATTTCCTTAAAATCCCTTAAAACCATTTCCCGAACTTTACGAACACAAACGGAATAATATCTATTTCAAAGCCAATGTACGACGTACGATTCCTGGAGCAATAAAACAGAAATGCTTAATGCATCAGATACTTAATATTTATAAGACGGTGCTCCGTTTGATGCAAACTGTCGCCGAATCCTATTCAAGGCCAACCCGTGCTTCACGGGAAGTTATCTTGCCTTATTAATATCAGCACACCCAACTATTTTAAGTCAACTCTGAACATTTGCACAACTTTCAAGACTTCAAGCTCTATCATGGAAGTTATTAATTCTGTCGACTAGACGCGATGAAGCAGTCGATAAACTAATCATACCAGTGCAGCATATCCAGGACTAAAGTGCTTCATACAAAATTGAGAGACTCGCGCGATAATTGTTCTAGATATTAACGTGAAGTTTGTCGCCATATTTAGACTTAGAAAGCTTATAAAGTGATTGGTGAATGATATATCGTTTAACTGGAAAACTTGCATAAGGGGGCAGGGGGGGTCTTTATGAAATTTCTCTCGAAATTGATTTTATAGTTGTTTATGATAGAGGGGAGTGATATATATATCTGCTTCTTTTAGTTCCATGGAAAAATATTGTTCCTAGCCGAAATTATTGCCGGTCAAAGGTCAGTGCTTATGTGTTATTGTATTGTGCGAGCGATTTTCAATCACGCGCCCTGAAAATCCAGTCTAAAAATCTATCTTCTCCTACATTTTTTGAGCAATCACCTTGCAACTTTCAGGATATGTTCTAAGGACCATTTAGAAGATTCTGGTCTATCATAATCTTAAGATAGGCCTTTTAGAAAAGGCCTTTATTCGATTTTGAAAAACAAGGTCCAAGATATTTTTAAAAATCGAATAAAAAATTTTCTAAGTCCTATCTTAAAATTCTGATAAATCAGAATCTCCTAAATGGTCCTTAGAACATAATATCCTGAAAGTTTCAAGGTGATTGCTAAACAAATTTAGGAGAAGATATATTTTTAGACTCAATTTTCAGGGCGCGCGATTGAAAATCGCTCGCACAATACAATTACACATAAGAGCTGGCCTTTGACTGGCAATAATTTCGGCTAGGAACAATATTTTTCCATGATAGGACCAAAAACAGCTGATATATATCACTCCCCTCAATCAGAAACAACTATAAAGTCAATTTCGAGAGAATTTCCATAAAGGCCCCCCTGCCCCCTTAACTTCAACCGACGTGTCAGTTTTCCTGAAGTTACTTTTAGTTAACGTAAATGAAGTTATTAAACGTAAATGCAAGATATTGAAGATGTAGTCTTGCCTCGAAGGTTATAATCAATTCGTTTTAAATGCAAAATACCAAAGCTACCCTGATCATTCTGAGCCGAAAATATATAATTTTTCGGTATTTTGAAGTCCGTACCTACATTCGGAAGGTTGTGGATGTAATACTGATTGGTTTCATATACCTACTAATTATAGAAAACGTCAGATTTAAAGGAAAATGCGCAATTTGATGCGGAGAACTGAAAAAATCGCGATTTGTCGTGAGGCCAGGATCTGAAAAATCGCGATACAGCACATGCTGCAAAAAATTCGAATATTTTAGACCACGCCCATTCAATATTAAAACACCTATATTGTTCTCTGTGAACATGTTGGGCGCCTAATTTTTTCTGAGACGGTAGATTATTACATTTTGCATCTGATCTGAAAAAATTATGTGAAACAGATTAGAAATGACGAAATTATCAAGCAATTTGTGTATCTCGTTAGCAAAATTGATTGGGTGATTATGTGACACGACACCTTAATTGGGCAGCCTTAACGATTCCATAATGTTCAACGGGGTAGTTACCGGGGTCACCTTATCACGTGATTAGGTAAGCCAATCACCTGATCACACGTAATGAATAAACTCGTTATGCTTCGTATCTCGGTCATCTGAGAAGCTATAACTCTAATTTTTTCAGGACAAACGTCATTCGAATGGCCAAACACGATTCGACTATCCAAATTATCAAATAAATGCGAAAATGAATCTTCATTTGAAAAAAATGAACACGAATATTTTTCGAGTTGACAAATTCCCCGAACCAGTGGTGGTAGTAAGTCATACCAGAAAGAATTATTTCAATTGGGCACTCAGTGACTGAGCTATAAAGGCCAACGTATGGGTAATGACTTTTGGCCCACCCAGACCTGTTAGTTCTAAATTGCATTAAACTATAAAAGACTAAGTGCGTCTGTGACTATCTCGTGCCAAAAATAAATGAAAGCCGCTTTAATTTAACGTGTTAAAAGGTCTCAAAAGGACCAATTGTTCTTATTTGGGAAAGGTTTGCTGCGTAAATCCCCTAGAGCAATTAACCTAGTTCAACCTCTTTAAACTCCTTGAACCATAACGTGATATATATTTTTAAATAACTTTTACCTCTTTCAGGCTTGTGTTAGCTGTAGTGCTAAACCAATGCTGTTCGGGGAGAACAATATTTTTATCTGCTCGGTCTGCAATTTGGGAGAGGAACATCTAACTCTACGAGCTCTCAGTGATCGTGAATGTCTTCAATTGGCGGTGAGGTTTATAGTTGGTTACTGAATATAATTTGGAATATTGACGAATCAATCGAATGTATTGATTCAGCTTAGAAATATTCGTAAAACGAAAACTGTGGAACTGCAGAAATACTAATCTGAAGATCACGATATCGATGTTTTATTTAGCATCATGAATAGATAGTCAGTAAACACCATAATAAACAACTTATGATGATCACACCTGACTAGTGTGTCTACTGACAAGTGTTCACTAACCACCCTAATCTATCAGATGTATCACGTGGTCATGACGCGTTACCGTGGTGACTTTCAACTCCCTGTGTGTCTCCGTATGAACACAACACCCCTGCTACAGGCCTGGGACCCGGTCAGGTTCCAGGATCTTCAGGTAAGAAACTCAGTTTCTGAGCTGGAGCTGACAAATTCAACCAGATGTTATTACAATGAGCACTGAGCTGTGACTTTCAAGCGTTTGTTCTGGAGGATCATTGTTTTGAAAATTGCAGTGAATTGTGGTTACCTTTCAATTCATTCAATTTTTATTTTTACTGCGAATTTTGAGCTGCGTCATGCTTTCAACTTAACCTTTTGTTCTGCCGAATAATTGTGTCGCAAAGCTAGATGAACTCAACCCACCTTTCAATTCAATAAATCTTTATTTGTACCTCAAAGAACGCGAGATGCGTCACATTTTCAAGCTTTTGTTGCGCTGAATCATTGTCTCACAAATCTAGATGAAATCGACCTTCCAATCTTAACTCATTAAATTTTAAGAGCAGTGAGAAACAATAAATATATATGATATATTATATATATTAACTACTTTCTAACCTCTTCAGGTATGGACTCTCGCTCAAACAGCTATTGATAACCCTGACCTGTTTCAACCAGGAGCGAAGCACAAAAACACTACTTTATACAGGTATAGGATGGTTAAAGGCGCAGAAAAGCTCTCAAAGTATCAAGCCTGATCATAAGTTATAACTTAAATCCTGGAATTAAATGTTAAATACTGCATTTAAGCTAATAAGAAGCTATAAGAAGCTAATAAGAAGCTATAAGAAGCTAAGATTATGCTATAAAGAGGGTATGATATTTTACAAAATGAAACGGCGTAAAAGCAATTGCAGTATAAAGAATTAACCCGAACAGTAAAGTGTTAAATCCTCGCCCTAACCTATGTTGTGAGAAACTTTCCGATTAGGCGCTAACTCCCCAAACAAAACTTTGATCAGCAAATAGAACAGAAAGAGCGTTTATATACTATAGAAAACGGAGTTCTCTTAGTGTTTAGTGTATGCTAGTCAAGCTCTAGTCACGTAGCACGAACGGCAGGGCGTACCGAATAGTAGAAATGAAACGAGTAACTAAAAAGGATCTAATTAAATATAAAGGAAAAGTAATACAAAGTGAACGTCAACAGATAAAAACTTCAAAGTGTTCGCTCTAATCGATTGACGTGACTAATCACAAATGGTAGTGCTCAGTCAGACTGGCTACCGTCAATTCGAATCCCTTAAAGTGATTAAGGGGCAACTAAGAAGTGAGCTCTCCACTTCCGGCTCTTCGGGTATACTCTCAAAACTCGTCACGCCATACTGCGTGACGGCACAACGCATCTGCTTGTACCACGTGACACGCCGTCTCGCCAATAAGCACTCCACTAGCAGTCACCCTGCATCCGCGAGGACCAACCACAGGTCTGGCTGTTAGTCAGGTGCAAAGTGAGCGGACGGCTCGTTACAGACAGTTAGTCTGACAGTAGTTCTGCCAGCCAACCGACTTACACTCAAAATGTGTAACTCCCAAATACGAACATATAAAAACATTGGTTAATATATACCCGGAAACACATACTAAATTCTACGTCCCGTAAACGTTATACTAAAACTAAGATATCCTAAAAGATATCTCTAAATACCATATTACAACATCTCTACCCAAAAATTTTTTTCGAATATTTTAAAACAATAAAATAATCGCCCTTTTCAAAATTTAAATTTCAATGCTCCGACGCATCAAAAGTCCAAAACTTAAAAATAAATCAAGTCTCAAAATAAAATACACGGCCCTAACCCTGTGCATTAAATTTAAATCCTCAAAATCCTAAAGTTAAAACTGAAATTGACTTCCACAAATCTTTCAAAACTTTCCAAAACCTTCAAATACTTCCCTTTTGCACCAAGTTGTAGAGTCTTTGGTGTTGAGTCTTCATCATTAGATAGAGATGTATCGAATCGCTAAATCGTCCTTGACAAGCAAACAAAAAAGTCAAAATAAATTCGAAAGTTTCTACGTTTCCGCCACTAAAGCAGCCCTGAGCGAGTCGTGTTGCGAGTAAAGATCCTAATATCCCTATCAGTACTGTTCTGAAAGATAACAAGTGTTATACCTAAGTAAGGTACGGTTCCACTGCTAAATACTAAGTGGAAAGTCTAGCTAAGTGAGTAAGACTATACTGTTCTGAAACTAGATTCTAAAGTAAGTGTACCTCCCTATCCGTGCATCTACCCGTCTTCTACTGGTTGAAGAGTTTTATAAGATCCGTAACTAGTCTAACGTTGTATCCTAGACGATCAGGTTGTCTCCGTTCCTCAGGTCTCCTAGTGTTATATCTGCGCTCCTCCCTCGGAGGGCTCTGTCTTCTTAGATCCACAGGAGAAAGCGATCCTGTTGTGTCAATGTCGTGCCCCGCTGTATCATATGACATAGAACTGCTATGACCCATCGTTCCTTCACCAACAACCGGACTCGATGATCTTCTAGCGGCCGATCTCTCTCTAGCTGGAGTGAAGAATTCTGCAGAATTATCAACTGTTTCTACACTATCGCCTGAGGGAATGTTATGTGTGAGAGGTGTTACCGTACGAAAACTAGGATTTATAGAATTCAAATCTAGTTGAGCAGGTCTATTAACAGCCCTATGAGTTGAACTAAAACTAGGTTGCTTGTAAATGCTAGCTGCACCATCCTTCTCCAGACGAAACTTCTTCGGATGAACCTCTCTTCTCCTCACAACTGGTGCTCTTCTCAGTTGAAAATCTGTCTCCTCTTCACTATTACTATCGGAATAATCTACAAATCGCTCCGATGAGTCCGTCTTTAACTCAGCTCCACTGCTCTTAGCCTTATTGTAAATGTATGCCTGAGGTGGCTTACTTGCTGTACACAAGACCCCTCTCTCTAGAGAGCTTACATCTCTAGTAACCGCTGAAACATTTTCCACCGCAACTACTGATGCCTTCTCTGTAGTATCAGCCTGAGTAAGACTACAATTGCAATGGTGGCTATCAACTTCAGGCGTAATCTGAACAACGTTTACTGTGCTATGGTCATCACTAAAATTCTCATCAAACAAGAACCCCGGAATCATACTATCCTCAACACTCAACTCATTGCAAGATTCCTCGATCATATTACTGCAATCATCCTTAACCACTGTCTCGCTGCTAACCGGTACCTGCAGCCTCTTAAACAGTATCGGGTGTTTACATCTATAATGTTCACGTGTCACCCGGTTTACTCCCTCTAAGGCAGCTTCAAGACTAAAAGTGCAACTGCTACTAATGCTCGCTACATTTTCTCGAGATTTACCATAACCCTGGTATTTATAGCGGTTAAATCCACCACACTTCTGGTTTCTCTTCCCCGAGATATGCTTCGTGGTAAAAGTACAGTTAGCAAGCTCCTGAAGCTTCCTGATGACAGAAGACGACACTTTCGAAAATCTCATTACAATCTCATAAATACGTGTGTTTTTGACCGCGGGTGACCTCCTCTTAAATCTAGGGCCACCCTTTAGAAGTTTAAAGGCACCTGACTGTTAGGTCTATACACTCTGTTCCAACTCTGTTGGCCATAACCACTCTGATATGAAGACCCTCTGTCTTGATATCTACCTCTATTACCAGCTAATCTGCTCGGACAGTTCCTCTGAAAATGTCCAATATCACCACACTCCCAACAACCTTCCAACTGATGGCGAACGTTACGATCATCATTTCTCATGGTAGCTTAATCTCACAAATACGAGCTATCTATCTAGATTTAACTGTACTGCGAAGCTTACAAACGGCTGTAAAACTGGGTGCTTGTTAAAACGATAGCACTGAACTGGAATATACAGGTACCACAAAATGCGTAGCAACACTTACCAATTCTAGTAGGAAGTACTCAAGATCTAGAACAACCTCCAACGTAATTCTTCTGAACTGCGACGTACACCGAACTTAGCTTAGCAAATGACAACGTTAGGATCTAATCGAAACTATACTGAATATAGGTGATAATAGAAGGATCACGAGCAAAAATAGCAACACTAAAAGTGGCCTCCAGATATAGAAAACGGAGTTCTCTTAGTGTTTAGTGTATGCTAGTCAAGCTCTAGTCACGTAGCACGAACGGCAGGGCGTACCGAATAGTAGAAATGAAACGAGTAACTAAAAAGGATCTAATTAAATATAAAGGAAAAGTAATACAAAGTGAACGTCAACAGATAAAAACTTCAAAGTGTTCGCTCTAATCGATTGACGTGACTAATCACAAATGGTAGTGCTCAGTCAGACTGGCTACCGTCAATTCGAATCCCTTAAAGTGATTAAGGGGCAACTAAGAAGTGAGCTCTCCACTTCCGGCTCTTCGGGTATACTCTCAAAACTCGTCACGCCATACTGCGTGACGGCACAACGCATCTGCTTGTACCACGTGACACGCCGTCTCGCCAATAAGCACTCCACTAGCAGTCACCCTGCATCCGCGAGGACCAACCACAGGTCTGGCTGTTAGTCAGGTGCAAAGTGAGCGGACGGCTCGTTACAGACAGTTAGTCTGACAGTAGTTCTGCCAGCCAACCGACTTACACTCAAAATGTGTAACTCCCAAATACGAACATATAAAAACATTGGTTAATATATACCCGGAAACACATACTAAATTCTACGTCCCGTAAACGTTATACTAAAACTAAGATATCCTAAAAGATATCTCTAAATACCATATTACAACAATACCTAATAGGTAATAATATGATTACCACCTAGTTTATATTATGATCCTATACGATCATACGTCATTAGTATGCCAGAAATCCTGAGAGCAAATATGATAGACATCGGACAAGCGAACACTCAGAGGCTTGGAATACTTAACTAAATTGCTTGTAGCTCATTATTTAAAGTTAATGACAGTGTCATTGGTTAGATTGGTAATAAAGCAGCCACTAATAAAAGCAAACGACAGAGTCCCAGCTTGTACAGTACAGTTTGATATATTGGTGCCCGACGGTAGGATGGGTTTCTATTGTCAAATATACACTGTACAGTAGTCAATGTACAGTGTAGATGCGCAGAGAATCACACACTTCACAGATTCAACAAAAAATGAAAATGAGTGTAAATCAAAACGACAATAATTGCAGAAAAAAATCAATACTTCAATACAATGTGAAGTATGTTAGCTGATCCCATTGCCTCAGGTTGTTGGTAGACGAGCCTCCCTCGTTCCCCCTGGATGAGACCCTGACTCTCCCACTTCCTGCATCCCATCAACCCATACCTCACTACCTTCCACCTGGCTTTGTAATGGATCTCGCTAACGGAACCTCCGGTAAAATACCTCAAATACACTCAATTTAAAGGATTTTATAGTTTAATAATTTGACATGAAGTGTCAATTTTAAAACTTCTCACGCTGCTAGAAAGCATCGATACCATTTTTGATTCTCTTATAGTACCGAGTACCGAACTTGATGGTTTTAATAATTTAACACTTCCACCTGTCGTGAAATTGTCAGTTGCAAGCTCTATAATATAGAAATATATAAAAGTATTGACCCTCATATTAAACGCTTTGACGTGTTCCACCTTCCTCGCCTACGCGTCGTAGCGAGTAAACGCCTTGTCGGTAAAATTAAATCAATATCAGTCTCATGCCTTATGATGTGCATAATCTGCGCGAGCATAATATAGCTCCAACAGAACTTTAACTGTGATGCGATTTGATTTAGAGCAAATAAGGCAAGTTATATTGCAAAACAGTTGGGCATGGGGTAATATGTTAAAAAGTTCAAACTGACAAGCTGCTTCATTTGGAATGGTCGAGAAGAAAATAGCGGCAGTTTCTTAAAAAAACAGGAGAATATCTGAAAATATCCCTCTAACAGTGCTGCACGCCGCCGTTTTTTTTCTAAACGGCGGCGGAGTGGTTGAAATCGGCGGCGGCGTGATCGGCGTGAGGTCACGTGATTCAATTTTCCTCTAGAATAATGCCATGTGGAGAGAAATTTTTAACAGTTTTGAATTTTGACACGAGGCTCGTAATATCTTGTAGTATATAGTATAAAGGTATAAACAGGTTCACGCCGTGTACGCCGTTTGAAAACGGCGGCGGCGGCGTGGCCGGAAAATTATCGGCGGCGTGCAGCACTGCCCTCTATAAAGCACCTTCCTTGCACAGCAATATAGTTATACTAACTTACTAATATTGTTTATTAACAAACCTACGCACTCTTTTTCTAAATTTCATAGTGAACTTGTATTGTTTTTATATATTTCTTTAAACATTTAAAATATAATTTGGAACATTACAGTAACGTTATTCAAATCTCAAACAGAAAAAGTATATTTCGAAGATTTGTGTTTGGATCATTATATGATCGTGGGTGTATAATGATTTTGATTGCATGATTTTGATTGGGCAGTGATAGTGAGTGAGACAATGTTGGGAGTGCCAGCCAGTAACTCTGTCAAATGAACAGCCCACTGAGGAGTGGGTGAGCGCAAACGAGAGAACAGCAGAAAGCTGTGATGATATGATTGGATAACTTGAAACTGAAGAGCGCAATTGGAAACAATCGGTAACAAAAACAATAGGTATTGGGTAGGCTTGTCGACGAAATGTTTACAATTTCAGACATCAAATAGTTATCGGTTCAATAAATTGGGGCTCTTACTTTGAATATAAATTCCATGAACAGAATGGCATTCTAGTTCAACAAAGTGCGTACATAGATCAATGTGGCAATGTATAAATGTATGATGTATCTTGTATTACATGGAAATTCCAAGGCTACGTACGACACATTATATGCCATTATGGAATGTAGTAGGCAGTACCTACCCTTGAAATTCCTCTAACTCTATAACAAAGCTATGAGATGAAATGCTTCATTATAAGTGTATTATAATACGGTAATACTAAAGATCATACTCACAGACTAAACTCTAAACGTCCTATAAGCGGTTTTATTTGAATTCCTCAAACACAGCTCAGGACTAATTTCGTGGTTGCGGTGATTCGGTCTTGCTAGCACAAGGAATATAATTTAAGTCGCGTTAATAAATTATGAGGAATCATTATTAATGATTCATTGATCTTGACGCCCCTTTATTCCCGAATTTTTGGCTAAATGGATAAAAAACAGCTAAAATTTGAGTTAGGATAAAAATGTTGTAAAATTTTCATGAATCACGTGACTAAATCGTGGAAAGACCAAAAAAGGACAACGTTCGCTCGACACCGTGAATATACTACAACATCTCATGATAAACTATATAATAATATAGTCTATTATTAGATGTTGTGCTTACCCACTCATAGGTGCAGATTTCGTTTTGAGGTGAACTTTTAAGTTCCCGAGAAATTTTCTTAAGTTTGCTTTTTTTTTCCTCCTCGGGCACATTCGTAACCTACGGGCCAGGTAAACCTAAACTACATATTGACCGTTATTTACGTCGGTATCTGTTGAGGAGCCAAATCATCTGAAAAGCCCTTAACCTATATTTTGCTCAGGCACGTAGCCAAGATTTTTCTTTGGGGGGGGGGGGCCGGGGGGGCTGTCGGCGAGCGAAGCTGCAAGCTGTGGCAGGGGTCTGGGGCGCGGCCCCCAGCGGGGTCCAGGTAAGGGCGGACCACATTGGCGGGGGCTAGGGGGGGCGCAGCCCCCCGGAAAAATTTTGCGAAATAGGGTGTTTTAGGCTAAATACAAGTCCATAAGTGACTACCCACACGCAACCTCTTAATAACTCACGTAATTCGTCTCCAAATTGCACCAAAATTTCAGAGATTATAGATATGGGTCAAACTTAGATTTCCTGAAAGTTTCGTAAGCCACGCCCAATTACAGTGGGCGTGGCGTGACACTCCCTCTTTTTCACTATTGTCTTCATAAAATGAGAACGCTTTAAGCTAAGAACTCAAAATTTTTTGCACACATTTGGCTTGATAATTGAAAACTTTTCCAAAAGTTTCAAGTTCATTTGCTCTTTTGTCAAATGCCACCAGGATCGTATCAACAAAACGGTTGAGGACGTTTTTCAGTTGGATGTTAAGTTTGACAAGACCACTATTTATCGGATGAGTGACCCCTCACACAGTATTCCATACGGCAACACTAGCCAGGAAAACAGCAATTTCTCTCCAGTAGTTGCAGTGTTGGCACTTGGTCTGAAGGATCCACGCCCCATGTACATCAAGACCCAAGCTGGGAGTCAAGTAACCCACAAAGCGGCCCTTATGTCTGGCACGTTGTGCGTACTCAGTGGCAAGACAGAGTTGAGATACAAACGCTCGATACCTAGAGGTTGGGGAAAAGTAGAAGAACAGTACTTCCTGATATTTGAACAGAAATGTCCAACAGAAACTGACAGCGCCCTCAAAGGTCCGCAGAAGAACCCTCAGTCAGACATCACCAAGGAACAGGCTGAAGAAATGAACTTCCCCCTCCTTAAGACTCCCCCCACTGTTGTTCGAGTAACGTCTGTAGCAGACAACCTGGATTATGAAGCAGATGGAGGACTCCTGCTTGCATCAACGATCAGTGCAGTTGTAGGGAAGATGGATGAGGGAACGGTAGATAAGGAGCTCATAAGAAGTCAAGTCTCAACTGCAGGATCTTTATCTGAAAAGCGGACAAGACTTCAGAACAAAATGTGCATGTCAATCGGGGAACTCTCCATGTCAGCAGCCAATAACTCGATGTCTCACGGCATGAACTTCTCACGATGTGACTCCCCGAGGATCGAAGACGTGGAAATGAAAGATGACATTGCATCAGTGCGTAATGCTCAAAAATGTGTGGAGAACTCTCTAAAGCATGTTGTGGATTCCATCGTATCTGTCAAGGCGAATGTAGCAACTCTCCAGGAAGCGACCAAACAACAAACTCAAAAAGACATCTCGCCTCACCCAACCAGCAACACCGACGTTTTGGATGCGATTAGTGATTTGAAAAGTGCAGTGAGTGATTGCAACAACAGAATCGACAATCTGAGCAAGACAAATGTGTTTACACAAACGATAAAGGAGTGCAATGGTAAAATTGATGACCTTGTGGAGAACATAAACGGCACAAAAGATGACCTTCAGTCAATGAGGAAGATTCTGAACGACCTTAGTCAAAATGGAGTAGATATCATGAAGAAATCGGTGGAAGACATGGGGAGCTACTACAATAGTGTCTTCTGCGATGAAACAAGGGAGCACATTAAAGACATCCACGCGTATGTAACACACCAAATGTGCGAGGTCGCAAGTCAAACTGACCCTTTGATAAAAGAAATAGCAGCGTTAGGAGACCAACCGAACCTAGCCTCGCCTTCGCCCAAATTTGGTTTCCCCGATCCAATAAAGCCCTCCCTGAAAGTCTTGGTCGAAAGTGGGCAACCCATCAACGTTTGGCTTGTTACCGATTCAATTATGAGACACATTGATGAGTCATGCTTGGAATTTAGGAAATATAGGTTGAATTTCAAAAGAATCGACTTTACATGTAGTGAATCACTGACCGGTGAATACATGATGGGGAGCAAAATACCAACAGAGAAGCCTCAACTAATATATGTACATCTCGGCATCAATGATATACACAAAGGAGAGGACATTACCAAAATCATCGACAACTTCAAGATCTTTAATGAAATGCTAGAACTAGTATCTCCCACCACCAGACTGGTCATCTCTTGCCCCCTACTGAACGGAAACACCTACCAGAACCGACACGTCTTTTCCTTGAGGAGATCCCTGTCCTTATTGGTCAATCAGCAGCAAGACGAGGACCCTAAAACAAAAAGGATTTTCCTTCAGAGAAATGATAAGTTCTTCATTAACACTCAGTCCACTTCTAAGCAGAACTTGATGTACTTCCGCGATAATCTCCATCTATCAGAAAGAGGAATGCATGCAATCACCAACACCATGAGAGACACCCTCGACAAGATCTTCAGGGAGTTTGAGCTTCCAGTCTAAATTTTAGTCTTCAAATCATGACCACCAACCCAACCTCTTAAAAAAATACTATGAATTTACAATCCAAAATTATAAGCTGGAACATCCAATCAACAAATACAACTTTTGGCTCTAAGTTTGATGACCCTCAATTTTGTGCCGTCTTTGACAAGTTTCCTATTGTCTGCCTTCAAGAAATAAGACAACCTGTCAAACACTCGGGTTACAGGTCCTTCAATAAAACCCGCCGGGACAAAAAACATGGTGGCGTATGCATAATGGTCCAAAACGAAATATCCAAAGGCGTTAAACTTGAAAAATCCACAATTGAAGATGTTGTTGCCTGTAAACTTGACAAAAATTACTTTGGCGTAGATAATGAT